ATGTTCAACAAGAAGTTCGAAGATGGCTTGCATTGCGGAGTCATTCGACACGTTGGTGTACAGTGCGGTAACGTCGAAAGGCTCCATTTAGGAGACGCGTTGCGTAGACGTTCTAGGAACATTTGGGTGTTTGTGACGTGAGCTGGAATGTGGTTAAGCAACTGGGTAAGTATCAGGCTTAAAAACCAAGTTATTCTATCCGTTGGCCCGTCTACACAGCTGATGATCGGTCTAACCTTAAATGATGACGGATTGGTTGACGCATGATCATCAGGTGATACCAACTTATGTGTTTTAATAAGTAGGTATAGGGCGGGACATGTTGGTCTATCTATTTTAAGGTGCGAAATAACCGATGATTTTAAACCCGCAGCCTTTGCCACGTTGACCCATTGATTTTTTTAGCTTTGGGTATTGACTTTTGTATTCCTTTTCAGAGCATGGGCGATAGAGAGTAGCATCACTAAGATGTTCCTCTGTTATCTCAGCATCCAGCTGGCCAGAGATAACTACGAACTCTCCCTCCTTATCACTAACAGATAATCTTTTTGTTTTCGAGTTTATTGATTCTCTAATTTCCCGCACGCCACTTTTTTGTGCGGCTGTAAGGTTAGAGATAAACTTTCTATCGCGGTAGTGATCAAGGGTCTTGAGAACGCCGTCCGAAAACACGCGAAATTTTATGTCAACTCCATCGTTAGGGTCCTGCTGTGTATAGAACGTTTTTGGGAAAGGAGATAGTGGTAGTTTCGCCCCCTCTTGATTTTTATCTCTATTTGATGTTTCTTGCTTGGCCTGATAGCGGAGTCGATCTTGAAGCTCATAAAGGTTGCATGCTATCCTACGCAGGGTAGTTTTAGAAATGGGCTGTGATGGTGCAAAACTTGAGCCCAATTCTAATAGCGAGCGCGCATTCTCAGGTATTGTTATGCCCCCAATCACGGTGACCCTAGATTTTCTTGGTGCATTATCAACCCCATTTTGACTATTATCAGAAGCGTAAGAAATTCGTTTGCGGTTGTTTCTTGAAGCCGAGACATGTGAATTACCCAAAAGATTTTCGAATTTTCGTTGTAAGGTTATTTTGGCATTAGATCTAATAAAATTGCATATTAATATTAACCCACCAACTATCCTCCTCCAAAGGCGATCCTCCAAATACAAAGCACAAAAATGTTCCTTCGTTGCACACTTCTTCATTCTGGCAAACATCTCGTTCTGCTTGCTTCGTAGTGCAGCTCGAAGTAGTTCCATTTCGATGCCTCGTACTTGTTGGCTGCACTCTGGTTGACTGCATATCTCGTGAAGTCGCTTTCGTTTTATAAACTTCGGCACGACTCGATGTTGAAAACAGCGGCGGAGAAAGTTGATTTGCTGTCTAGCTAAGACAATCTTTTGTCTTAGTGGCAATGCTTCCTTCACAAGTCGGAAGTATTTTGCTGGTGCATCTTGTGATAGTTCCCAGGTTCAACTTTCTATTAACCTCGGCATTGGAATATGAATGCGTCGTTTTCTTGTGCAGCAATCACGAGGTTGTTATACAGCATAGATAGATATTATTACTTCCATAGAAAAACACAATACAATACAACACTAGCTGACGTTTCGGCAGTATCGCCTGACGATTTATGGTTATTGTATTTTAATCGCTGCGGTCACTGTATAGAATTTTTGAATACAGAAATGCCGAAACATACGTAACATAAACTATAATGTGCTTCCAAATGCCGCAAACAATGCATTTGCAATAGAGACCGTAGTAACAAGCAGTAAATAATTCCATACATATCATTCATTTTTTTGATGGTAGGGTATATTGCGAAATATAACTTAAATGATGCCGAGATATTTGCAAAACTCCGGACCGTGAGTGTCTGTGGTGGGGAACGAACGCGCCATTGTCATTTCCGGGGAGTAACGCGTTCATCACCACACCATGCGGGTCCTTCATTTCTCGCGTGTCTCTCAGCTAGTTCTATCGGCGTTCCAATCCCGCTAGCGGGTGATTATTGACGGCAGAGATCGATAGAACAAGCTGAGACAAAGGCGAAACGAAGGATCCGCATGGTGTGGTGATGAACGCGTTACTCCCCTGAAAGAACAATAGTGCGTTCGTTCCCCACCGCAGACACCTAGAGTCCGGAGTTTTGCAAGCATCGCAGCATCATTTAAACTAAGGAACACACTTTAATACGGATATAATATCGTTGTTGATTAATTTAGGCACTGCAGTCATTTCAATACAACGCAGCTGAATTGGTGTGCGGTGGATGTTCGGCACCACCAGGTACTGATGTTTGTGGGCGGCATGGTGCTGAGTATTTGGAATACAAATGTCGATATTGCTGCTCAATAGCCGTCTACTTCTGGTATGTATGCTCTTAGTCGGTACTGTGTTCCTTAAAATGTGGTGGTTGGCTTGAATAGGTTTTCACTCATAACATGGGCGAAGTCGATCGAGTGAATTGATATCAACTTTTTTTCCAGTAATTTGTTTTGCCGCATGGAGGTTTTTGTTGTGCTATTGTTTTGTATTCAGTAGATAGCTCATCCATCACAGACTAATGTCATGTGCGTCGAATCTGAAAAGCTCCTTAATAATGTACAGAAACTGTTTCCGGACGAGTTTGTGAGCATGCAACTCCAACTTGAGTTCTGAGTTGATTAATTGCTTTTTATATCAATAAATTATCATAAGGAGTGTTTTCAGCTTTGGCACCACGCATTTTTGTGCGCCTTGTCACGACGATTTCCAGCGCTTGGTATCCCTTCCTCGAAGTCTATTTCCACCCTGTCCAACCGGTCCTCGTGCTACTCCCGGTGATGGTCCGTGTCCACTTCGGCGGCCGCATCCACCAGCTGGTGAGGAGTTCGCACTTGGTTGTGGTATATGCAGAAATATCAGTACATTCTAAAATATTTTCCCCTATTTCTGTCATATTTCTGCTCATGTCAAGATCTCATATTTTTAGTTGTATGTGACCATAATTCGCTTTTAAATTAAAATAGGTTTACTTTATTAGGTGCAGTTGTCATACAAGGCTTTCATTTACTTTTATTATCTTGCAAAGGTTTCTTGTTACGTTTTATGTTTGTACAGCAATATCGTTCTGTTAATGTTTCATATGGTCCCACTGCACACACAAGGCGTTGTTAACGGGTGATTACATAATATATCTTTTGTTGTTTATAATTGCAGTTATAGTAATGTTGTAGTTGATCATTTCTTGAACAGACAACATATTTGTCTTGGAAAAGTTGGTGAAAAGCTGTTTGTTGACACAATTAGAAAGGTCGATGCGCTGACGCTTTTCTGAGTAGAAAGGCGATGGTTCAGGAGTCACCATCAATATTTCTAGTTTTTCTACGCCATGGTAACCTCTCAAAAATAAAAGCGGTACGTAAACAATACCAATTTCTATGTTCAAATTACCTTGTTCACTGTAGATATAGGGTCTGCCATAGATTTTATGCTTAGTTAGGCTAAGCATAAGATGAGCATGAGTGTAAGGTGGGCATTTGATCATATCATATCGAAAACATCTCGTGGGGTCTACCGCATAAAGTGTGCTAACATGTCGGACACTTGGACGGGTCGTCTTCTCGAACTGCGTGGGCATAGCACATTCTCCGGTCTTTTCTTCACCTCGCAGTCGTCGTGCATGGTGATAGTCTCTTCTAGTCTCTTCCTGGTTTGATGGCTTCGAGTTTCATTTCTTGATGAATGGGTTGTTTCCAGCTAGGTACGTCAGTTGGTAACGGTTTGCTGGCTTGTCTTTGTTCAAGCCACGGTGCTCACTTTTGACATCTTCCACGTGGTTTTCCACCTGGATAAAGGACGACGGTTGTTTTATATTGTCAAATGTCCATTCATCTCGGTTTGTTCTGTATCCTACCATGCGTTTTCCCCATTTGTTGTGTATTCTTTTAAATGATATGATGCTGTGGTGGGCAAACAAGAATTTGGTAGGAATCTTACGTCGTACCGGGCGACGATAGCATCCATTGCAGTCTAACAGCTTCGGCGGAAATTTTTAACATTGTCAAGCATTTTTGTCAGTGGGATTGCAGGTGTCCAGAAGACGTGTGTATACACACAGTAGCAGTCGGAGCTTTCATGTCTGACAGCTCCACTATTTGGTCGACGAGCGTTGGTGGGATGGAATTTGTTTCGACGCTTTCGAACAATCTTCGTAGTCAGTGAAGTTACCAAATAAAAGGTAGTTTATAATTCTGACGGACTCCAATGCCTTTAATCTGGTGAATGCAGCAGAATCCCTCTTGAAATCCTGTCCGCTCAATTGGTGAAATGTTAACAAGATTTCAAGATGTGCACCATAAGACAATCTTCGTAAAGAGTTTGCAAAGGACACTAATTTAGCTGTGAGGTCTGGTGTCAAGGTGTATTTCTGTTCATAAGTTTTTGGCAATTCGGTAAGATGTTCCTCATCCAGCATCTACGAAGGTCTTCTGATGATCTAGTGAGCAGAAATCGACATTGAACCCAGTCAAGCTGAGGCTGCAGTCGAAACCACGCTTTATAATTTTCTATTTATTATATATAGATACCGAGCTCCCTGAAAGGGTAATAGCGGGTTCAAATAGTTCCAGGGTCTCAGTTTTGTGGGTATATCAACATAATTGTGGTTATGTGTGGATCATTTCCTGCACTCGCTACCACTGTGCATCCCTTGCCCCCCATAATAACCATAGTTACGATGGTGGAAAGTGGTAGAGAATCATTTCAGAGGTTATTTAGCAACGCTTTTAGTGGTAAAATATATACAGGTTTGTTACGGCGGCAATGCGATTGGTTTTTCGCTTCAGCTCCTTCGAAAATTTTTGTTCCGATTCTATTGTAAGATTCCCTTCGAAATCCTTCATGGCTATTGTTTATGAGAAGTCGGATATGTTGAGTTAACGTCAGATCTAGTTTATATCGTTTCTTCCTAAAAAAATTAGTGATAGCAAAGGTAGCAATGAAACGTAGTTGATTAAACGTAGAGTACCCAGCAAAATTTTGAAATCGTTTTAAATCGTTAGACGGCGAAGGTGATTTAGGGGTACAGCGCAGAAAGAAGGCACAGCTAAATTTCAAGTAAGCACAACTTTCTGATCATGAAGAACGACGAATTTCCTATTGAACTGTCCAATTAGGCGACTATTGTGTCAAGATCCGATTATTCTCGAAAAACATTCGTGGACGAGATATGATGTGCACAGAAGTTCATCAATTTCTATTTCCATTTCGTTCTTCAACTTTAAAGTTTCTGATCCTGTATTCACTTCTCCTCCAAACGGTTTACCGTCTCATCGTGGTTGGGAGGCGTTCTTTAGTGTCGGATTGCGATTTACAGCGAAGCGATTCATCACATGGTTTCCCAAGCTGAGGAATCCGGCGTTTCCATTACGAAGCCCAACTAAGAGTGAACCATTGCAAGGATCCGTCATCGTCCTGGTACCAACTCGCTCTGATGCACAAGGGCGGTGGCTGCCTGTGGTGATAACGACCTGGGGGAGACTTCAGCTTGGTTTGCCTCTGGACTTAAGGGAGTCACAATGACTAAAGCAGCAAAACTCCGAAAAAAGGGATATTTTGCTGGGACCCGCACAACCAGTGAGGACGTGCCATCTAAGTATCCAAGCATCCAAGTAGGTTCCCACTTTTACTGGGCTCTGTTATTCCTGCGCTGAAGACTCCGGAAAATCTATGTAAACGACTTCGTACCATGTCACTTCCTTCGTCTAATCATGGAGTTTGTCTAATTTGAGCTTATCAGCTGCACATTGTCGTTGTTAGCAATTGATGGTACTAAAATTTTAATGTAAACGTTGAAGATGGAGACCTAGCGGAGATGACCTGATCTTGCTTGAGCTGATGAGATGGTTAGCAAAGTTGCCTTAAGGAGAGCATAACCATTCGCTTCTAAGGCGGTTCTGGTGTTATAGGTGCCGAGTAAGCTACGTTTAGCAAGTAGTGCCGTAAACTTATAGTTTTGATGCGACACAGGGTATTTCACTCTAGCCACTATTCTTTTCCACAATTACCCTTCTTTGTCCGGACCTAACAGGCACCGCTGCTGGAAGGTCAAAGAGTACCAACAACTAGTCTCACTCTGGTCTCTTTGACAATCACCTCCATTTGTCTAAGAGGAGTCGTGGAGGATAGGCCATCTTCAAAGTCCGTGTTGCTTTACGGTGAGTCAATAGTAGTACAGTACCATGAACATGTAGAATCAGATTTGGACATTAGCATACCGCAAAGTCGTTTTCTCGTGCATTTTATAAGTATATTTTATTGTGATAATATGAAGCTTTACTTTTAATGTGTGTCACTTTACAGTTAATTAACCGTTTAACCATTTTTTTATAATTCTCCTCCTGTAACCTGGTATCTAGTTATCTCAAGTTGGTTAAAAATAATTGGTCGAAATAATGCCTTCATGGAAGAAATTTGTCCCGTTCTAATTCCTGAATCCAAACATAGACGTGCTGTCGTGGATACAACTCAAATTGTCATCCAAATATACGGCGAAGTTGTTGTTGCGAACAAGCAGTGCACACATAGTTCGGAAAGTTTCACCCCCAGGGAACATAACACCTGACAAATGAAATGATGTATGCCCATGAGTGCTTTACACAATAACAATCTGCAAACGATAATAGAATTTCACCCTCTAAAGGCTACTCAAGGTACTGCCATATAGCTCAAAGCTAACCGTTGAAAAGTTCTCCGTCGTTTCAAAGACGCGCGAAAAGTGAAGTTCGAAAATTGAAGTTGGTTTGGAAAATGGATCTAGTACAACGCCGTTTACCCGAGAGAGTTTGAACTGGGTTGCGGGCTCATAAGCATTTTCCAAAGACAAATTTGGAAGTTTTGCTGACTAATAGGCTTCTGTGTTCTTGATAAGCTGTCACGATGTTTTTGTGCATTTATGTGATAAGGATTCCATTTCGCAAAGTTCGCCTTATTCAGAGTTTGGAAAAGTTATGTAGCCTGGTTGGCGAAATTCTTTCATAATACTAAATGAGAAACCCGAAACCTGGGTTCCATTCGCATGATAAACAATTTTTTCAGGTCTTATAGCGTTGCTGGTCTCTCGTTTAATTATTGAGAATGAAACAATACAAAGCCTATTATTTCTTCACGGCAGAGTAATGTGTGAAATACAGTGGCAATAATGCTGAGATATTTGCAAAACACCGACGTCAGTCCGGATTCGAACCCATGATTACCTCTTCCGGGGGCTCACGTGTTGCCCACTGCACAACATATGCCCTTGCCTGCCTTTCTCTCAGCCAGTTCTTGGTCTGAACGGTTCCGTCAGCTATCCCTGTGAATTTTGAAGGAGAAAGGATACAATTTGTAAATTGGTGTAATACATTGCGCGGTCAAGAAGAGACCACGATACGACGAATACCGTGGTGAAAAGGTCATTTCCGCGTCCGAATCAGTAGATCGCTGTTTATAGTTTTATTTTGAAGCGAGCATTAAATTAATACTGAAAGACGAGTCATTGAAAAGATGTGCAGGTCATGACGATATCGGTTTGAGAGTGATTGTCTCATTTTTTTACAAGCAAATTATGAGCGATTTTCTTCGTATTTTTGTTGAGCAAACGCGAGGTGTTACTATTCTTTGTTCACGATTAAGCTGACGTTTCGGCGGATTTCGCCTTCTTCAGAGCCGCTTTCTATGAGGTTTTCACTAAGTATACTACTACTAGAATAGTAACACCTCGCGTTTGCTCAACAAAAATACGAAGAAAATCACTTGATCAATGCCGAGGTTAATAGAAAGTCGGTCGTGGCAAATTATGAGCTTTTTCTGCTAAAATGTTAGTTGTGATCAGACACATGGTATGGTCTACAAAGGCGCGAAATACGATGATGAGGGTCAAGACGTCTTTGATAT